CACCCTTCGAGTTTCTGGAGATTCGATAGCTAGCTCTCGTGGTCTTGCAGGTGTAGGTATAGCATTAAGCACCAGGGCAGAAAACTCACTACTAGACTGGATCCCAGTTGATAGTCGCCTCTGCGCTATGAGGCTGAACGGCACAGTGAGAACTAAAAGGAATAGTGAGACTCGCCGTTGTCTCTTTGTAATCTCTGCTTACGCACCCACTGACTGTAGTTCGGATGAAGTGAAGGACGAGTTCTACCATAAACTGTCTAACCTCCTCTCGAAAGCCAAACGTTCGGACGTAGTGGTTGTTGCAGGTGACCTCAACGCACAGGTGGGTAGACTGAGTGAGGCAGAAAGGCACTTAGGTGGCACTTTCGGAATCCCAGCTGAACGTACAGATAACGGTGATCGCCTATTACAACTATGCTCAGATAACCGCCTATTTTTAGCCAGCACAAATTTCAGACATAAAGAAAGGCACTGTCTGACCTGGCGTCCACCGAGCTCGACTCAGCGATGGACACAGATAGACCACATTGCTATTAGTCATCGCTGGAGAGGATCGGTGGAAGACTGCCGCTCCTTCTGGAGTACGTGTTTGGACAGCGATCATGCGTTGGTCCGAGCACGTATATGCCTGCGTCTCAATGGACGTAGAAAAAATTTGGCAACAAAACCACTACGAGTTCTGCTGGACAACGAAAACACCAAAGCCGTGTTCAGTGAGAAGTTGGCTAGGCAGTTATCGGAACAAAAGACTGTCACTCATCCAGAAGAAGCTTGGTGCCATCTTCAGTCTACTGTAAAAGCAGCACTGGAGACTGTAGCCGACTCCAAGATAATGGCTAAAAAGAGCCAGTGGATATCAGCAGCTTCTTCCAAACTAATGGATGCACGTGAATGCATCCCTGCAGGCTCTGAGTACAATGAAGAGCGAGCGCAACTTAAAAATAAACTGACGAAAAGTCTGCGCAACGATCGTGAACAGTGGTGGGCAGCAAAGGCTAAAGAGATGGAAAAGGCAGCGGCGATCGGTAACAGTAGACAGTTATTTAGACTTATTAAGGAGACTGGGGGGAAATGGTCAACAACAGTTAGTGAGGTTATAGCGGAGAAGGACGGATCGGCGATTCACTCGCAGGGAAGGCGACTGGGACGATGGGCAGAACACTTTGAGGAACAGTTTAACTGGCCTCCAGCCACCATTGCGCTGCCCGCTATCCAGTCGGACCCTGAATGGGACATAGAGACAGGTCCCCCAACACTAGAAGAAGTTGAGAAAGCGGTAGGTAGCCTGAAACGGGGAAGGGCAGCAGGACCAGACGGACTACCTGCTGAGGTATACAAGAATGGTGGTAGAGTTCTCTTAGTCAGGCTAACGGAAGTGTTAGCCAGTATATGGGAATCAAATACGATCCCCTCCGACTGGTCTAAGTCACTCATCATCCCAGTCTTCAAGAAAGGCGAGAAGTCCTCTTGTGATAACCACAGAGGAATCAGCCTGACAAACATAGTGTCTAAGATCCTAAGTTCTATAATTCTCCGACGCCTGAGTGGAGCTCGGGAACAGCAAGCCCGAGAAAACCAGGCAGGCTTTAGACCTGGCCGTGGATGTATCGACCAAATATTCACACTGCGCCAGGTCCTGGAACATAGGCATGCTTACAGACGCCCGACAATAGCTGTATTTCTCGACCTGAAGGCGGCATTTGACTCCGTTGATCGAGAAGTCTTATGGCAGTGTCTGTCACTGAAAGGCGTGCCTAGTAAGTACATCACCTTATTGAAAGCTCTCTACTCGAACACTTGTGGGCATGTTAGAGCCTATGGTGAGTTGTCCAGGGAGCTATACTCATCAAGTGGTGTCCGTCAAGGATGCCCACTATCCCCATTCTTATTTAATTTTATCATAGATATTCTTATGGAGGTTTCCCTCTCGTCACCTAATTACAAAGACGTTGACCGGATCACAGGTGAATTTTCCTTAGATCTAGAATATGCAGATGACATAGTCCTGTTAGGTGAAGACGCTGACAAGATGCAGAGTCTTCTGAACACTTTGAGTGGGAATTTGAGAATGTTTGGGATGCGATTTTCACCACCCAAATGCAAATTTTTGCTCCAGGACTGGTCTTCAGCGGTACCGCGGTTAACAATAGAGAGTGAAGTGGTTGAGTGTGTTGACCACTTCACTTACCTGGGAAGTAGGATCAACCCGGTGGGTTAGTTGCCGATGAGATTTCTGCACGGATACAAAAGGCTCGATTGGCTTTTGCCAATTTGCGCCACCTATGGCGCCGCCGTGATATTCGTTTGTCTATTAAGGGTCGCGTGTACTGCACAGCAGTCCGCTCTGTTCTACTGTATGGCTGTGAAACATGGCCATTGAAAGTGGAAGACATGAGAAGGTTACAGGTATTTGACCACCGTTGCCTTCGTAGTATAGGACGTATTCCGTGGTGTCACCATGTGAGTAATGCAGAAGTTAGGTGTAGAGTTTTAGGGAGAAGAGGTAAGTCAGTCGACGAGGTTGTGAACCTTCATCGACTGAGATGGTTGGGACACGTACTACGTATGCCTAGTCACCGATTGCCTCGTCACACAATGTTGGCTGAGGTGGGTTCAGGCTGGAAAAAGGCCCGAGGTGGCCAGACTAAAACATGGCACCAATGTATGAAGTCTCTGACTGTTGGTTTAAGCCATGTAGGACGATGCAGACTAGGTGGTTGGGGTCCACGGGACAAGAGGAACCAGTGGTTGGAGACCCTAGGTGATATGGCTCAGAACCGAAGTCAGTGGCGCAGATGTATACACACATTATCCTCATCTTAACAACGCTATACCGAATCTCACTATTTTGTCACTCCTCTTTCCTTTCTTCTCGTACTTTATATTTCTTTTGACTGCATTCACTTATCTTCATCCTTCACCTCACTACCTTTTTACTTGATGTGCTGATATGAGGTGTGGCAACTCGGACCGTTACGCAGTAATGCCTGGTCCTATGTTGATAATAATGATGATGATGATACTAGTGACATACCCAAAGTCTTATGCTATCAGTAAGAATCAGGAAATGTTCATCTGCTTCATTGAGGACAGATTATGAAGCGTTACCTTTTAAAATACCAAGGTGTAAGTAGTTACACTATGCATCATTTAAAGTAAAACAAATAAACATGGAAGTACTTGTTGATCTGTATTTATTGCTGTTCATGACACTTTGTAGTTTACTCAGAAAGGAATGATCATACATCAATGAGAGATAATTTACAAGCTTTCAGGGACTTTATCACCACCGCAAATCCAGGAGAAAAATAGACAAATATACCAGATAGATCGTCTATGTAGAATCTAAACAGTAGTCTAGGTGGACATTTGAACTTTCAATATTATTCATTGTTTCAGCACGAATTTGGTATAACGTAGGCACCGAAAAATACGACATAAAACAATACAACAACCCAGTATACGTGTTTATGCACTAGGTCATAAGTTAGTCTTATTCTGTAAGGTCATATGATACTAACCAGTTGTTCAGACCGAAGTAGGTAGAGCAGAATTCAAAACCAAGACCTGTTGCATGAAAGTTGGGATCGTAAGCTGATTAGCCACAGTACCACTGATACTCTAATGCATTCTTTACTAAACAAACGTTCATATGATCCCCGAGTTACACACCTACACCTTGTACGGACATCTTAACGAAGGTGACTATCGTACGGATCAGCTCCCCACTTTTGAATAAAGAGGTTATAAACAAAAGGAAAACTGTTTAGTTGTGCAATAAATTGTTAAGATCTTCATAAGAAGCCGTATATCCCTAAAACTTTCCACAACCAATCGTTTTGCTTCGAAGTTTCGAGAACCAACGTATATATATATATATATATATATATATATATATATATATATATATATATATATATATACTACGGCCTTTTCCATTTACTGAGAAACTGAGGGACCATCTTTAGTGGAATCTGAAAGTGATTATCCAAGTTTCTACTCACTTAAGCATATGTATAACCCAGGATATACCAAATAGAACCTATCAGTTTAACAAGCGTGTAACATTAATGTCAGTACTTGCTGAAAATCAAGAGGTTCTGTGTTATCTGCTTCTCAACTTCATTTATTCAACAAGTATAGTTCTTTTTGCTTTGATGAAAATGATCAATGGTTGCTTATACTTGTTCATCAAGTTTTACCTATTCAGAAATTCTTACCACACCTCTTAAAATATAGTACTGCTGCATCAAGTGACATACACGCAATAAAGTGCAGCATTAGTTTTATCAAAACAGGTGTTACAAATGACCAGTGATATGAAAAAGATATTCAGGAATTCGCGTCTTTAGATCACTCTTGAAACGCTGAGATTATATGGTGCTGAAGGTTGTGGGACCGGAGTGATTTATGTTCGAAAACTATATCTAACTTAATCGAAATGAAAACCATATTATTCTATGTCTTATTTACGCTATTTAGTATACTTCACACTGATCCCACTTATAAATCATTTGCTCCCCTCAGTTCTTAGTTTTTCAGTGCTTATAAACCCTCAATAAAAATCTAGCCGAAAGTCTAGAGAAATGTGGTTCACCCACCTGGGCACTTAACTTTCAAATATTGAGTACCGCATGGAAATCTTGCTGCAGACGCTTCAGTCTAAAGACAACCGGATATAATCAAAAGCTGTCACACAACTACTTCGGCTCATAGCCCAGGTTTTGACTTGGAGCAATAGTGTTAACAAGCGTAAAATCTAAGGTGGACCAGGTTATGAAAAAGTTAGGACAAGTGTTTATCATTCCCAGTTACTGGTATTGTCAACTCAAGATGTTGACTAGGATAAGTAAACTGTGATAAGATTTTCGAACAATCTGAAGAAAAATAGACTTATTGAATACAATTAGATAAATATGTCGACTGGATTTACTTACAATAACCAAAATTAACATGACAATGAGATAGGAAATAATTAGGGCAACAATACTAAAGCTTACTTGAAAAAATCACTTTTGTATCACTATTAATCATTTCCTCTGTGCCGACAGATGATAGACCCGGTGAAGAGCTGCCAGCAGTATCTGTTATATTCATTGGGAAAGAATATCGAGTAATAGGTGAGTTAGTTGTATCAATTGGCACTGCATTCTGTAGATTATTTTCATGCAGCATAACCCATTCTTGTAACAGACTTTGATAATCAGAACTATTTCGACTACCCTGGGGTTGTGCTGATGTTACATTGGTAACTGATTCTAACTCCTGAAGGACAAGGGGAAGAACAAAGGTATGTGATGATAAATTGGTAGTCAATAAACAATCAAATATTCTTAAGCAATTCAAATCAGTGCATACACTAACGTCATGCACTTACTCTATCACAATGTAAAGGCACTGGAACTTAAACTATGAGTCGTATCCACTGAGTGAACTACTACTGCTACTGTCGAAATTTCCCTGAGTGGAGCAGAATTTTAAATGATGACTCAGTGACTAAAAAGATTAAAAATACTAAATTGTCCAGAACATAGTCAGACAGATAGGTACACAGTACGAACACAGGACCTGGCACTACTGCGTAAAGGTCGGAGTTGTTACGCTTCATATCAAGCGAGAATGCACCACGATGAAGCATAAAGAAATAAAAAAGGAAGCAGTCAAAAGTCGTAGAATACTATTAAAAGAGAAAACAAGGAGAAATGACAAATAAGGTAAAGATAAAATGGATTTATCTGCGCCACTGACATCGATTCCGAGTCATATCACCTTGAGTCTCCAACCACTGGGTTCCGTTGTCATCTGCAACTCAACCAGGAAGGCTACATCTCCCTACACGGCTAAGACTAACAGTAAAAGACTGCATGGATTGATGTTATGTTTTAGACGAGTAGTCTCTAACCTTTTTTAGCTTAAGCGTACTTCAGTCAACATTGTACGACGGGGAAGGTGACCAGGGACGCGTGACACACGTCCGTGCCAACCACCTCAGCAGATGAAGGTTCAAAAATGAATTTTTTCTTCTCTTCAAAACTCCAAACCCGACTTTCACGTTACCCAAGCGGTGACACCCCTACATATGGCCTATGCTGGGAAAATAACAGTGTTCAAACATTTAAAGCCTCCTTATGTACTCTAACTTCAAAGGTCATATTTCACCGTCACTCAGTATAAAAATCGAACTGTAGCGCAGTACACTCAGACTCCAAATAAGCAATTGGATATCATAGCAGCGAAATACAGAGTACTTCGGAAAGGCCAGTTAAGTTTTGTATCCTGGCCAAGATTTATTCAGTTATTCGCCCACAAGAGTTGACCGATATCCAGGTGAGCGGAGTGGTCAACCTGTTCAACTACATTAGTCTATGTTATTAGAAAAGGCACCATCGAAGACTCTGCGTCTTGTCAGCGTCTTCACCTAGTAGGACTATGTCATCTTCATACTCTAGATCTTCTAAGGAGTCATCGGTGCTGGGTCAGTTTCTATAAAGTCAAACAACAAGACAGGAGATCTCTATAGGAACGTGTAGGAACATGTATTTAAGCCGAAGACCCAAAGTCAAATATATCTAAATTTTTACATAGTCCGGCGTTTAAAGTAATAATAATCATTGGCTGATCTACCGCCTGTCAGTCTAACTGTAGATGTGGTTAACATAAAGTACACGTTCAGAAGCAGGCTGGATAGTTTTCAGTAGAGCTCATCCTTCGCCTCATCTGAACTGCAGTCAGTGAGTCCGTAAGTAGTGATTACGGGAAAACAAAGGCGAGTTTCACTATTCATTTTTGTCATCACTACCTTTCAGTCGAATAGAGCATAGGCGACTGCCAACTGGAATCCAGTCAAATAGAGAACTTTCTGTCTTAGTGCTCAATGCTACACATATACCTGCAAGACCGTGAGAAATAGACATCGGATCTCCAGAAACTCGAGGGGTGAATTTTGCGAATTTACCATACCGGCAGTGTGAGGTTGTGCGATTAACAACACTTGAATCCTGTATGTAGGTATTACAAGCACACCGTGTATCTGTGGCCCGAGATACCGGAGTTCTGGCTAGAGAGGCTTCTTATAGATTTGATGGAAGTGGCGGATATTGAAAGCTCTAATATGTAGTTTAAAGTGAGGCTTCAGGAGACCAATGATGCTATTCTGGGAAGGCAGATTGCTATCAAGAGCTGTAGAGCTGGAAGAAATTAAAGATGATTTTAAAATGTTGACTGAGACGTGAAGAAAGATTCAAAGTGCGTGGTAGGTTGACAGCGATCTGGGGAAGCTTGAGTGATGACACAGTTGTGATGGAGGTTGACAATTCCCAAGTGCTTGCACTGTAGAAAGCTAGTTCTCCTTGAGATATCTGAATAAGAAGGGCTAGTTCGTGATCACTGAGCCCAAGCGACATCTACTTGAAGGTTTGGTTGTTAACCTTGACCGACTGAGATGTCGTCGCGCATGCCAAGTGACTGCTTACCTAAATACACAATATTGGTTGAAGCAAGATTCAGTCACAAGGAAGCGAAGGCTGGGTCGAAAAAGATGTGGCACCAGTTCTTTGATGACGTTTCGAGAATAAATTATTGCTCATAAATATATCAATGTAATCAAACCACTTTTAACAACCGATTTTCATAGTCCTCTCACCTCATATTCTTGGTTCTCATTGGTAGTAAAATTTTCCATCTCTCTGGTATAGGTGCTGCGTCATCCTTACTACATATGTTGTGTACTGATTCGATAAACAAAGAAACAGTAATCAATATCTTTATCCCCCTAATTTCAATGGACAATAGTTTCATCACGCATTATATGCTCGTGTGTTAATTGTATGTATTTCAATAGCTGAGTTTTTTCCTAGATTATTGATTCTATTGGGCTCTATCATTCTACATTTTGCCGAATTCCCATGTTCCGATGATCTAATTGACACCGACCGGCTAGTTTGATCTATGTACTTCACCTTGCAGCCATTGAGTGGAGTTTGATAGATTAAGCTATTCTGCTGAATTCGTCCTATTATATTATCCTGAAACTTGAAGACTGGGGCTGAAGCTCAACTGTACATCTAATATGATTTCATCAGCTGAAATATCAGTTTTGTAAGTTCAGATTTAATACTTAGTTGACTTCTGACTGCCTCCAACGCCATATTGATGAGTATTTGAGTATAAAGACTTGTTACATCGAAACTAACCACCTTTTCATTCTTTTCTATATGATCATTAAGTCTTAGTCTCAACTCATAAGAATTTACTAGACTAGAATTTGAACGGTTCCTAGTAGGACACAATATCGATGCTAAGTACTTTGATAGTTCATATGTTGGGGTATTTTTGGAGTCAACTATGCGACTAATGGGATAACCTGGTTTAGGAACCTTAACAGTACAGTGAATTCTGTCACGGTTATTAGTTTTAGGCATTAAATTAAACCACATAGACTCACCTAGATATAGTTTTAGTCGGTGTATCAGATCGACTGTAGATTTCTAAATTTTATTCATGACAGTGTCTATAGGTTTCTTGATCACTTTATATGGTCCTGTCTGTATATGTTCGTCAATTTCGTTGAAATAATCCGATTTGTTCATTACTACTGTCAAATTGCCTTTATCAGGTTTAGCAATTATTATGTTATTGTCATGTTGTAGATTATTCAGAGCCGAATTTTCAAGTTTCGTTGTGTCTTCTTTTGTTTTTTCAGTGTCAATGCACACTATGCTCTAACCTGTTCAACGGTTGCCGCATCCCCTGAGCTTAATGCCGTTTCTATGACATTTTCGGGTCTTAGATGGCCTACTGTCACGTTGAAGTTCACTTGTTTGTCAAGTACTTTCGTTTCACCTGGGCTTAAGGTTCTCGAGGAGGAGAGATAAACTACCCACTTTATTCTGTCGATGTTGGATGTTGTTTTGGTTGTAATCTCATTATTTTCTGAGAGATATTTTTCTTGCATTTATTTGCTCAGCTTTTTGGTTTGACTGTTTCTGGATTTCCTGAAAGCGGCTGACCTTGCTTTATTTGATGGTTCTATAAGAAATTTACAGTTTTTCCTGTTTACAATCTTCATAAGTTTACACTTCAGTTATTCAATTTTATTTCGGATGGTACTTAAATTCCTGATAATCCTGTGAATTTCTTCTTTAAGGCAGAGTTTGGTGACATGTTTTATTGTTCTTTTGGTTTTTGGCACTGCAGTAAAATGTATTTCGATATGAGGTTACAAGACTATAAAAATTGATTGTTTAAAGTGGTGTTATTACATTGATATGATTATGAGCAATAATTTATGCCCGAAACGTCATCAAGTAAATAATACCGTATCACTGTGCGCTAGATATAAAATAAACAAATCTAATATGGAATTACATTCTAGCACAGTGCCCAAGTTGTACGCTTATATTAACTCTGACCAAAGCAGTTGACTAGATACATTGAGTGATGGATAATTCCAGTGAGATTATCATTTAGTCATTTCTACTCAAGTATAACCAGTGAAAACAAGTGACATGGAAACAAACAAAGAAATATTTGCTGAAAAATAAAAATACAAAGGAAATGAGAGAGAAATAGAGAGCATAGGAGCAAAGCAAACGAAGATGCATAGATTAATACATGCGAAAATATGTTCATCTTATCAGCATGCAACCAGAGGGAGTAGGCATAGGCATGAATGATAAATTTTTCAAATGACAAACGGATATCGATTAAAGGAATCAAAGTAACTAAGTGCACATCTACAATCCTACAGAAGATGCAGACAGTCATCGGTAATTTATACCAATTACAAAATAAGGCGAATTATATGTTATAAACAGAATTTGACACATAATTTGCAGATCACAAAGTTATCAGTTTGACCATCTGAGATACCGGTGGTTTGGCAGAATTGTATTGTTACTGGCTGATGATTGAAGATAAAAATGAAAATATGGGCGTCAGTGGGATTCAAACCAACAGCCACCGGACTTTTGGTCCGGTACAGTTAGATTTTGCAGCTCAGTTGGTAGAGGACCGGGCCAGAAATCCAGTGGTAGCTGGCTTTAAATACTGCTGCGGTTCAAATTTTCATTTCACCTTCAATCACCACCCAGTATCAATCACAAAGTTGTCGTCAGTATTATACTACACACCTGATCTATCCCTTTATTTAGTCATTCAGCTGTTATGTCAAAGTAAACTGGTAGCACATATAAGTAGCTGAATACGCACTTATATTTACGGAAAACGCTTCTGCAAACAGATTTAACTGATCTACATATTTAACACCATTTTGAAGCGAAGATTATATCATGAAAGTACCTAATGAATTTAATCAAGAAAACTTGAATATTGACAGCACTTTTAGCCGAGTCATCCCTTACTATTTGGGAACAAGTAGAGCTAAAACTGTTGCTTATAAAACTTGGCATCACTGGTCTACGGAATCTAATTGACCATATAAACGTATGGTGAATATATAATATCTGTGAGCCAAAACTAGCCCTGTTCATTGCATAATACATCGGTAGGACATGAAGAAAACGGTATACCGATGGTTTCATTATCAGCAGTGTTTGGAAGGACAAGCTTTTAATCCCTGCTAGTGATGACAAACTCATTTAGCTAGGCAATAACACACTACATTTACTACTATAAGTCTTAGGGCGCGTAAATAACGTAGTAGAAACTTTGAATGCTAACTACGCTAACTGATAAATAAGATTAAAAACACCAACTGCTTAATAATTACCAGTTTTGTTGGAATTCACGGATACCACTAACTAGAGATGCGTAATCTAATCTGGATACCAAAAGGATGATATGATACCCGACAACTCACTCGCCTAACACAAGGAAGGAGAGAGTAATGAACTGAAAAGGGTTTACTTTAATCGAGGAATGAAAATGTAGAGGTGCAAAACTTGTGTTCTTAAGGCAAACAAACAAAGTAATATATTAAAAGTGGAGACAACCAACAAGGAAATAGCATCCTTACAAGCAGTAAGAGCGAGTGATACACATAAGGTGGGAAAAGACTCTAATAAGATGAATTCAAATTCTCAATCAGGCGAGTTTATGAATTTTAGGCATAAAACGTTCATTTTTGTATACCTAACACCTCCAACAAGTTTATGCACTGATAATCAAAAACCGTACAAACCTCGAACTAATTTCGAAGTACAATTCATCACTGTTGTAAGTAAATGTTAGTTAAACATTCACAAAAATAATAGTCAACGTAAGAGATATGCAGACAACACGATGAAATACAATTCACTGGCCTACATACCCAATTCATAAACTTTAGATCAGAGTCCACAATCTATGTGAACTATGCGTGTTTAACGATGTTATCTGAACATATCAACACTAACACTGTAAGATTTTGAAAGAGTAATTTTAAAAAGTGACTAAGTAATACACTAACCATAAACAAAATAACGTCGATATTCTATTAGATATGTGAAGGTTCGATTCATTATTCTGATGATAATATCTAGTTTTCATATTGAAACTGCATCTTATGCCATAGTTAGCTCAGAATAACTAAACTGTGATGTACATTTAATCAATTCCTGTTTTTGTGTCTTTCATCCAGTTATCTTGAATCTTGGTGTAACAACTCGGAAATTTATGCAATAATGCTGATGCTGTCCGTCTAATATCTACTCTTAAGACAATAAAAACTACACAGCTGCTAGAATCCACTTATATAAAATGTGTTACGAAAACGGTGCACCACAATGTCGCAGATAATTCAACACTGTAGTTTATGCCAGTGACGTTGTTATAGCCTACTATAGAGTAACCTAACATCAAGAGTAAGTAATTGGTCATAAATGATAAAAGCATTAAAGTAGTAAGATCATTGTCATTATCATTACCTGAATACGTTTAACTAATTGGCCAATAACTTTTGCGGCTAAACTTGTCTCTCGACGCACTTCAGGTATCTGCGCCAATTCCGAACGTAGTAAACAAATAAATTCAACAGAATTTTTTAGTATATTACCTTTATTTTTCTTGCCATCCCTATTTAAAGGGAGAAAGAGAGAAAGCACATTCATGAAAATTCAAAGCCTTCAGTTGAATTTTTAGAGGGGAAAAATTAACAGAAAAATAGCCATTATACTGTAAAAGTATAGTTAGAAAAATTATGGAGCTATGGCATGTTGATTCAACCAGTCGACTCCCGACCACTGGGTTCAAACTCTACTCCATTTGCCGAAGTCTCAGCGACCCATGAAGCATCAGCATTATCAGCCCTAAAACAGTACGATCAGTTAGTAAACTAGCTAGTGAACTTGTAGAGCATGGTTGCATACTCACACTCTGTCATACCGAGGAAAGAGATGGGTTTAACTCGATTCCAACATATCCGATGATATTTACTTTCAGATGCCTTGACATGGATAACATATTAATTGACACAATGAATTATGTTAAACTAAGACTAATTGGTCACGACACACTTATCAGGTCATGAGTTCATAATCCACTCAACCTATCTAGGTCCCAGTAGCAGGTATTACCATAAGCCATCAAGAAACAGGTGTTTTTCTGCTGTACAAGCGTGCAAACAGTTGCAGAGTTGCATTTCGACTCGACAATCGTAGTCAATCACCTGTTAATAAAACTTATATGCTGGATGGGTGTAGCATAAAACAAAATGAATATCTAGATTTTTGACAAGAGATTCACATTCACCCATGTGACAGTTATCCAGGTAATAAAAACTTCAGATGCACTTTGTTACAACTCTTCGCTCTTGTTACCGGTCAAACAGAGTAATGTAATACATTACAAGCTACAAATAATTGATTTGGAGTTTGAACATGGGACCTAGCACAGAAAAATTGGGAACTTAATGAACTGCATTTCAAATACAGATAGTCAAAGATGCTTCCAACCTATGTTGTTCTACGGTGATAGAGGGCATCTCTGCCGGACACCATTTAGTTGTCATCATTTCTGATGACAGCTTTCAATAAGCCCTGACACGGCTGCGTGAGTTCGAGTAGAGAACTATGGTTAGCGTTATATACTCTCTTGATACTCTTTTCAAAGTCAGACACTGATACAACACCTCACGGTCGACAGAGTTAGACGTCACCTTCAGGTCAAGAAAAATAGCAAGTGTCGGCCCCCGGTAGGTATGCCTGTGTTCCAGGACCAGCCGAGGGTACACAGTCGATCGATTAATCCTAGCCCGGGTCTAAAACCTATCTGGTTTTCGCAGATTTGCTGTTTAAAAGCTCTAGTTAAGCGTCGGATAACTATGGAGCCTAGAATCTTGGACATAATACTAGTCAAACTAATTCCCCTCCTACGGTTGTCATAAGACTTTCCTCCCTTTTTATAGAGTGGAATGACCAACGAAATACATCAATTTGAAGGCACTACCACTGATTTCTATACACTATTTAGTACATCCGTTACGCTAACCAGTAATTTTCTACTTCCATCCATAAAAACTTCGAGTAGATCCTGCTGCCTTGCATCACCGCAGGCGGGAAATAGCCTTCTCAACTTCGAGAAGAGTTAGAAGACCGACAACTATATCGCATTCAGGTTCGGGAAGGATGCTGGGTAACTGGAGCGTTGCTGTGGACCACTCAGACCGGGTCTCAAAGTGGTCTGCCTAACGTTCTAGCCGGCTGTCCCGAAAGGTTATCAGGATCCCATCCTTTCCAGTTACGGTTTGACTCACCATCGTCTTCTTCCTGCTGGTTATCTTAGCAAGCCTAAATAGTTGCCGAGTACCACCCAACACTCATGCCTTCTCCATCTCTCTAGTTCTCACCATCCATCACTGCTCGCGATCATTGAGAAGACTCTTGGTCAACTTACGCTAAAGTGGCTTCCGTTCTTCATTGTGGTCAGAGGCAGCGAGAATCAGTCTTCTCGCATCGATCAGTTTTGAAATCCAATGACGTTCGATAACCTTCGGGTGCAGGTTACCAATTGTCACTTCACGTTTCTCTAAGATGAACATCGATCTCACGTTGGGATGAGTATTTAACTAACTCCTCCCTAAATACGTACTTGACGCTCTCATCCCGCAATCGATCATATACAGGCTTTACTGTGACTTGTTTTCTGTGACCAGTAATTCACTCACTTTCTGATGTGTTGAGAGCAGTTTCCAATAGTACTGAAGCTTTCAAAAAGGCTTAAATGTTTTGCGTTCGTATTTTAAAGGCAATGATAACCATAAAATTACTTACCCATCTCTGAACATATCTTCAGGCAACAAATTTCCCAGTTCAGCGATTTGACAATTAATATAATCCCGTCGTTTACGTTCAACTGAAAGAGAAATGAGAGAATACGGAAATGGTACCGATAGATCTTTATTTATATCAGTGTAAGCCAAGTGAACCTTACTGAATTTATAAGCCCAATGGTTTATGCACTGAATTATGATTCACTGTATCACGGTGACTGCAGTTTAGTTTCATAGACACTAAAACATTTAGAGTGCTTTACACTAAACTACACAAACCTGTACAGAGTTGTTAAGTTCTATTTTTCTTTAATAGTGGATATTGTCAAGAAGTAAAGCTTAACTGCTTTTTATGAAAGAGTTCTTTGTATCGTCAGGCTGGGAATGAAATGGCGATTTCATGAAACTTTTAGTAACTAGTTGGACTTAAGATGAATAACTGAGAACAACTACTAAGTACAGATTTATAAAAGTGAAGACAGACTGACATCAGTATTTGCAGCAATTTAACAGTAGTTAGCTGAATACTTCCTATAAAAAGAATTATGCTGAAAAAAGACTGGCTACAAAAAAGAGCTGGACCAGGGATTCGAACCCCACTTCACCGACCAAGGTTTGGATAACCAGGTAGTATCACGGTAGCACTCACATAATACGTGTGATAAATTAATTAGTAAGTAAACATGTATTTGGCTGCTGAGAGAATATAGTTTCTTATTATGCAAAGAAGAAATCTGAAAGTAATAAATCGGGTGAAGGATGATCGTGGAGAAACGAATGACAAAAAGACTGGACGATGTGAATATAAACCTGCAGTAAGACGTCTGTTTTTTTACACGAAGACCCTGACAGCATTGGTAAACCACATCGACTGGAATAATAGAAGCCTAAAATGGATCAAAATCAGGGGGAACATAAATTTCCCATATTGTGTTCGTCTGATCACTGAAATGGAAGCAGAAAGAACAACATGTAAGTTTTTCCCCATTGTTTCGATGTACAACACACCAACATTGAGTGGTTGACTAAACGTTTGCGCTATGTGGTGAACTAAAGAGCTTGTCACTTGCATAACTGAGATAAGAAAAGCCAAAAGCTAGTGTCATAACATATGAAAAAGAAGAATATGTAAAATCTAGTCACATATTTGAGTCATTGTATTTGTTTTAAAACGATGTATTTTTATGGTATTTTATAGCGTTACTTTGTAACCAATTTACCAGCTACCTTTCAATCCGTTGACTATTGTTTCATGCCATTTCATTGAGAAATATTTTCTTACTCTTATTTTGTAGCCTAAATGACTCTGCTATACATTGTAATTCATTGTTTTAAATATATGATTCAGTTGTATGAACGCATTAACTGTAGACCAAAAATGAATGCTATAAAAGGACTGAGAATTTCTCGTCTTGGCCATCAATGAATACGCTCAAGAGAAAAACAAACAAGTGTCCTAATATTCCAACGGTGAAGCGTACAGAAAACTAAACTTCACAGCTTTCAGTATCAATCATGCAAATCAAACCCTTCTGTTTGTCCTAATACGTGACTTGTCTGAAAATTAACTCCATTCGCATATACACTAGCATTAGGCGATTTTGTACACACTGAGGATTAAACATATCACCTCTTAATCTTCTCTTGTACACTTATTATATACGCTATCAACCTAATTTTAAGGTCTTGTCGAATTTTTATAACACGGAGTTGACACGCAACAGTTTGAAGTAATACACCATTAATAATTACAGAGGAAAAATTAATTAGAGGAAACCTTTTTAGGGAGTCAGAAGAAACACCACGTGAATAATAAAACACAGGTAACTTACTTCGATTATGACTGTCTTTCTTAGTTCGGTCTCTCATCCAAGCGACTCGTTGATCATCTACACACCGATTACCCGCAGATGAAGACAGACTTCCAACACCAAGTGAACCATGATTCATTGGAATACTCGAAGCTTCGGGTGTACTGTTCATACCACCTAACGGGCTACTACCACTTTCACTAAGTACGGATTGTGGGGCTCTTGATCCAGACTGTACAGGACTAGCATTATCCAGCACATGTTGTAGGTCTTCAGGCACAACAGCTGGACATGATGACGACACTTTCATACAAGCTTCATCTCTGTTCAACTTATGATTTTCTTTAAGAAACAGTGAATTTACATCCACAGGACTAATTTGTACCAGTGAATCCAGTTTGTTTGCCATTATTGGCATTGTTGATTTCGTTGTTGATTGTTGTAGTCGTTCAGAAGAATCACATGTTTGATGTGGAAAATCAACGGTCGAGTTAGATACACCGACCTATGAAACACAAACAAATAATAGGCAATTCAGTCAGCAAAAATCAATTGATCATATACCATTAGGATCGACTTCAAAATCAATAGAAATGAATCAGAGTCCATCATTAGTAGAACTAAATACTTACGTCATATAGAAAGTTCAGGAGACTGGTAGATGACACTGATGTTTGATGCGATAGACACCGTAGACAGATTTTTAAGAGTATTTAGGATAATCAATTACAGTATGCATTTCTCATGTGACAACTAGCAAATAAATAGGAAGTATACGTCCAAAATTCCACTTCCAGTTATTACCAACTGAAAGATTTTTACATATATACGTGTGAGTGTGTATAGTCGCTGAAATAAATAAGCTGTCTACAAAAGATGACATGAACACATACACACACACACATATATGGACATATACAAAGAAATAAATACAGAAAATTTCACCACTGGTATCTCCTTTACGTTAACTAAGAACAAAAATAACCAAAAATAATTGAACAATCAGAAAAATACTTGGCAAGACGTAAGTTTTTTTCTGTCTAGTACACGAAATAGAGAGAAGAAAAGAAATGCCACATACACCATACATCCTTACAACAGAATAACAATTAGGCCGATAAATACCTTTTCAATAATGAAAATAAACTAACTCAAGACTAGGTCAACCAGCCAGCCAGCCAGCCAGCTGAATAGTTCACCTCATAAAATAAATAATCTTCACGGAAAATAATTATCATAACAGAACTGTGCATAGGTCATGTACACAGAAAGTAGCAGTAGTTTCCTTTTCAGCAGATTATATGATAATACATTTTTGATAAAATGATTAGCTCTTGCGTACATAACCCAGATGAATGTTTCTCATCATTGTCAGACTTGAACAAGCAAAATAAACACTGTTTATAATTAGATATGCATGTCTCTTTATCTCTCGCTCTCTCTCCCTCCATTTCATTTCGTGCTATTAACAATAATGATAATTCTATTTGCACGTCGTAACAATACAACTGTGTAATCTCTGCTACATACACACAAATTATGAACGTCTGTTTTTGACAACAAAAATAATGGGTCATAGGTATAGGAAGTAAGTTAATGTCAACATAGGAGCTGGCATTACTGTGTAACAGCTCAAGTTGTCACACCTCGAATCGGAAAATCAAGATACAAGGCAGCAAGAAAAAAAGCTGAGAGGGAAGAAAAAAGAACCAACAGTTATAAAAAGTCAACAGAAGCGAAGAAGAAGAGGTAAAGTAAATAATGAAGTATGATGTGACTGTTAGGATGTAGATGAAGCACTAATGAAAAACTTACAGTACTCAATAGTGACAATAACTGCCGTATACATTCGGGTTTCATCCAAGTTTCATGACCAAAATGTGACTAATGCTAGGGAAAGGTCATAAGCTTCACCTTAGAGGAGTGAAACGTTTTCATATCGCTCCCAATGTACGGCCTGTTCTTATCTCAGTGAATCATTCTGGGGAATTTTACTCAATGCTTCAAATGAATATTTTGCTGAATATCACCCATGTGTTGTGCAAGTATAGACAAGACTAAGGAGACTTAACTAATCCCTACTGTTTATCACATTAAACAAAGCAAACAGTCAATATTAATGATACAAGCCTATTACAACTTAATTTGCATACATCATCTTCACTATACGTTTTATAAGTTATCTCGCTAAAACACGACAGGTGTAATCTTCTATATATCTACTAAAAGACAACTTCACATAGAAAGAAACTAATAACAACCAAGACCGTATAAGCAGGTACTCAAACAACACTTCTCACTAATGTGTCAGCCACCAATTCTTTTTAGAAGGTTATTAGTCATTTTAACCTGTCTGTATAATGCCGTTTCCGTTGCTACTATGGTTTATTATCCCTCGAACAATTAATTTTCTCCAATTGGCACGATTGGATTAATACGTAATTATTGCTTACCATTGTGAGTAAATAAGTATTATATCAACGATGCAAAACAGGAAAAACCAAACATATAAGGTATATTCAGAAAATAATAATGCCAAACAGAACTTTTTTTAAAGCTACCAGCCAGAAAAAATAAGGGGTTCTTGTCATTTCCCAGATTTTCTGTCACTACAAATAAAATTTATTGTCTAGTAGACAAATATAAATATCTATCAACGTATATAGTTGACCAGTTTCTGTCCGTAGTCACTCTGTCTCTCTCTTACAGTTAATGTGTATCGATTTCCGTCTGATATCTGTAAGAACTTATCTAAATTACAACGCGCTCATTAAAAATGGCTGGCAGTTTTCAATTACGATTGAAACGTGCGTGTGTATGTCGCAAAAAAGAGAAAAAACACATCTGATGAACATACTATTTCCGTTTTATTTTTATGGAAGGATGGAAAACATACCAGATATATGAGCATGCATATGAAAGGACAAATTTCTGCGAACCAATCCAACAGGTAACCACTCAACCACGAAAGCATACCAGTTTGGAGTAGCATGTTCTAGTCAACCTTTATCTTTCATCATTTAGAATACCGAAATTTCAGCCTTGTAATCAGGATATGGTGAGGTGCGTAAACATCTCGTTATCACTCCAAGTTTGTCTGACTGGGAAGTCTACATTTCCCAACAAAGCTCAAAACAAGTGTGGAAGACTCCATGCACTGATGCCATGTTTATTCTGACCGTCTCTTGTCTTTATCCAGTCAGAAACCACTTTAGTTAACATTGTGCCATGAGGCAGACGGTGACCAGGTATGCGCAACACATGTCCCAGTCATTTGAGTTGATGAAGTCTCATGAACTCGCTAATCGGCTTACCTCTTTAACTTAAAACTACGCTTGACTTCGACGTTACTCACGTGTTAACACCACGGCTTAAGATCTACTTTACAGAGTCAATGGTAGTCGAACACCTAAAGCCGGTATATTCCTACCATTAATGGCCATGCTTCACAGAGCAAAGCGAACTACTGCATATTGCACTTGATACAACGCCGGTAACATAGACGTTGTAAGTTAGTAACACCCAATCAAGCCTCTCGTATTCGTGCAGAGACTTTGTCAGTCACAAACCCACCACAGCTGATCTAACTTCAAGTGTAAGTGAAGTGACTGACTCGCTCAACCACTTCATTTCTTATTCTTGGACGAGACACTAAGGCAAATCAGTCCTGGAACAACAATTTATCTTTGAGTAGTGAGGAAAGCATCCCAACCATTCACCAGTTGCCATAGAAAGTGTTCGGAAGACTGTGCATCGTATCCGCATCTTCAGCTAGTAAGACTGTGATCCTGTTGCCAGGTTTGCATGTTTGTCTTGTTTTTCATCAAAAATCAATTCTATTTGCATAAACTTTCTAAAGACTAGAGAGTACTAGGTGTTTGTTCCGTTCATTAGTGACATTGTTTATTATTAAATATTCATGGTTCCCCTATAGATCAATCTCAGGGTATATCATACATGTCTACCCGACCACCAGTTGAACCAGACGAGGCAGGTTCAGAGCAGTAAACAACTTATATCAGGTACCACCTCATTTTCAATAAGTATTTAACCGATACCAACTTGATAACATCTGGTTCTTTATTGGGAAAAACTTTTCTTCTAATCGTAAAAGTTCTATAGGCATGCAAATACGTCTGAAGTGAGGGGAATTAAGGGAACTGGAAGGTGATAGAAAACAGGGAAAATGACGATCACAGAATAAAGAAGCAGCTAAGACATTAAACAAAAACCGTTAAAAATAACTGATCAAAACTGACATTATCACACTGAAACCTTTCCCCAAATAACAACAAAAATGTATAAAAGCATGGCCAGACTTACAGACGACGAAAGATTAATCGATGGCGTAATATTGTTCAAATCAAAGCTATCACTACCCTGATCTTCCATGATATTTGCAAAACATGATTCAACTGGCTGGAATAGAAAGAAACAAAAAACTAATGATAGGTTTCTTCATATCTCTCTTTGTGTCTTTCTTCCTCGCGCCTTATAGAATCAAATAACAATGAAAGTGGAGAATATTGGTAGCTCAGGTGGATGGTCTTGGTTGTAATTTCTTCACAACACAACTAAAAACAATGAAAGTATTGAGCATAAATGAAATCAGAAATTAACTGTCCCTATAAAAAAGCATATGTTTTTAGTCGTAATAGATGGTTGTTACAATCGCCTGAGTAGTTGTACTGATGTACACATCGTGATAGCCAGGGTGAAGTCCCGGAAGTCATGCGACTCAGTGACTGGAAACGCTATCAGATATAACTTCGAGTATAGACCGATGGTGATTATGTTGAGGCTTTCTTGTTGGTATTCTATCATCAAAACGAAAGTTAAAAGGAAAGTGATGGGTGCCTCCTTCAATGGATTTTTATAAGGCCACTTCCATGATCACTCCATTATATTTTTTGCCTTTTGCACTTTTATGATAATGACTGATGCATTTTTTGGCGGCGATATTGTAATATACTTATTTTAAATAATATGAATTTTAAAAAAATTATTGTTATAAATGGAAGAGACACCTAATTCTTTGTCTAAGCAAAGGTTAACAGTCCACTCTTCAATATTGTTTTGATCCTGGTAGAAAATAATATACTCGTTGATTGATGGTCTCCAGGATAGGTACTTAATCAATCTAGCTGAAAACCGAAAGTGATTTAACTTAAAAGCGATTCCATTTGAAGGGATCATTATAAGTACTGATTACTTATATTATTATGATTTCGCTTTGAAAATTAAGCATCCCTTTATAGTCTCTTTTCATTCATACAGCGTAGGTAACCTTTTTCTTCATGTGATTCATCATTCAACCTCATTCCTTTACAGTGATCAAAAAAAGTACAGCGACCTGAAATACTGGATTAATATGATAGTCTGCTTTAAGTTGAATCATTCATTCATTCAGCCAGTCAGTCAGTCAAATCAATTATCGTGATGGTCTCTCATCCCTTTACAGTACTAAAAGAAACAAGTCGAACTTATCAAACGAAGCTCGTAAACGAGAAAGATTAGCTGAATCTAAAGAAATAACTAACAGATAATAATAATATTCTCAGAGATTCAACGTACAGAATTCATATCAGATGGTGTCGGCGATTCATTGGATTCCACTTCTAATCCACTAAATTCTGAATTCGACTTTAATTGAGTATTCGGGGATACACTTTCAAAACTATTATGCTTTGACTGTAAATGAAATTGTGTATGACCTTGGGCTACATTACGTTGTGCAAAATGCATAGGTAATGTTTGATTAGGTGTTTTCTTCGCATTTGAAGTAGTAGTGGTAGCAACAGTATTACTAGTCAGCGTATAGATTGAATTTCGATTGTTAACTGAAAAACTTTGAGTAGCAGTAGTATTTGTTGTTACAAGGAATGATTTATAGTTCTCCAAATTCAGATTCGATTGCTGAGTATTTTTATCAGGTAGATGGGATACCACTGGTTGTGTGTCTTCAGTCGACAGGAGAAGCCTAGTCTGAAATGAAAATTTTAAGCAAACATATAAGCAAAAAAATGCTTGAGAAAATCACTAACGTAGTATTGATTACTGAATATAAACTAATTAAATTGCTATGCCTCCAAAACAATTAATAGTAATAAAGGAGAAATATAAATTATTTTTTAACCAGTAAACTAAGTCTGAACAACAGTTGCTACCCTGATGAGGTTGTTGGGCTCCCAACATGCTAAGCTGGTTGGAAAGAGTGTTCCTTGAAAACCTAACATGCCAGAAATATCTACAAGATGGTAGTTAGACCTACGAAGTAGCTACCGACAGTCATAGTTCGAATAATAACACTTGACATTACGGTAGAGCTCGGAGGATAAGCCGTACTGTTGTTTGCACATGGTGTGAGTAATAAGGTGCTTTTAACAGATAACCAGCATTTCATATTGACGGTTCCTTCCCTTAAAGGAAGGAGATGTTAGAAAAGGTCTACCTTAAAAATAGCACTATCTTCTTCCCTGTGGATTTCTAGTGACAGTGGTAAGGATTTTGAAGTCTGCGAATAAAATACAGTAAACCTTAAACTGTAATCTCCCTCAAAAGACTGTGTACGGCCCATACATATTTACCTTAGAATTCATGGGATGCAAAACTAAACGAATTTATCTCGCAAATATTTGCCATCTCTTGGCCTAAAGGCAGTGCTTGACTCCACTGATTTATAGGTTTTGTGGCAATCTCTGACTGTGAAGGAAGCCCCCAGCACGTATACCACGCAGACTAATGATACCTGCTTAAACAAGTTCAGGGATGCAAAGGTTTATGGAGAGCTGTCTTCGAAAGTAAAGACACCCAATGATGTTCAGCAAGTGTCTATAACAAATATTTTTAGTCAGATGATGATATAACTCAACCCACTAAGTACTAGTTATGGACAACACTTATTCTATGAGGGCTTATAATACTACCCAGTTGTTAAGGCCAAAATAGGCAGATTAGGACGTGAACCGGAGAGCCACTATCTGGAATTCATGTGTTTTAGTCAATGAGCTCAAGATACGATCTCATGAGATATGCAGTCCTGTCTTGCTTCGCCAAAGAGACAACGATAGATATAACCGTAAATAACTCAAACTTCTCAGAAATTGACCTACTAACCGGAGTACACCTGGACGGCTCACAGTAGGCACGTGACACAGCGTCTATTCAAGAAAATAATTCAAATATTTCGTGTGGAAGTTTGATCCCAGCTTCTTCAGGAGAATGGTCAAAGCTAAAGTATCAGATATGTAACTGAGATCAGAGGCATGTATTTAACCTATTTTTCCAATACTGCTAGTGCAATAGGTAGTGTTACGCGGTGGTTATTACTCGACACTCTTTCATTAAAAATATGGGATAATTATGGTCACATATAACATTGCAGTTATTACATATTTGCGTGTGTATGTACAGTGCAACATATGACACCGATATTTACCATAAATCATTCACACTAGTAGGAATGAATTGAAATTACGAAAAACCCCATTTTTCAGAATGAAGTAGAAATAATGGTAATAAATCAATTCAGACTGAGACATTGTTGGTGCAAAGATACTGAAGATGAGACTAGTAATAAAATTAGATGCGAGTAATCCTTTCTACCTGTTAATTAGTAGTTGCAAAGAGGTAGCCAAATGTACTCCATCCTATCTGCTCAAACTATTGGTATTTGCCCATTTACGTAGGGTCTAGGTGGTTTATACATCTTGGTATGACCTAAAATCATTTTGTAGAAGCATGAATCAATCGAAGTCAATTTTTTTTCTCTACTTCTACCCAGTGTAACCCACTTACACATGCCACAGTCGATGTCTGAGAGGTTCATCTCCATTCAACAATACAATATCTCATCATCTTGGTTGTATTGTGTTCTCTGAGCTGGGTGGTTTAATCGTGAAGCTTTCATCGTCCTTCTAGACAACATTATCAGCACTAACTTCAGTTAATGCATCGGTTCGACTGGAATTCTGAAAGTACCATTCAAATATCTTTCTATCTGGCTTAGTTTTTTTGGACTTTGAAGTCGCCCACTACGAGATCTAAAACTCAACATTTGGCTTTCAGCGGGAAGTTACATCGCTTACTCCATTTGAACGGCAGTCAATGGGTGAGTAGGCATAAACAGTGCAAATGAAAACAGCATATGTTTAAGTACTAGGCTATAAGCCATAGTAATTGTTTGGAAGTACATGACACTACCAGATTGCCTAGAAAGAAGCAGGTAGTGTTTCAAAACTATAACCTGTGCACTTGAAAGTCAGTGAGCTAAAAGTAGAAATCTTAATGTATCACTGTCCTCCTTGATCCTCACTGCACAACTAAGTCGAATAGCGAAGTGTCCGTCAACTGAGATCTCATCTCGAAGTGTTCTCTGTCCTACATTATACCTGCACTTGCAAGACCTCGAGAACCAAAAGATAAGTGTCTATGACTGAATAGTTCAGATCTCATATCATCTGCAATCAACTCATCAGCAAGATGTATCTGTAACCATGAGGGAACTGATCGATAGACTTTGACTAGTGCTAAGGACTAGCCAGCTCCATTGCTTACCCACTGGTGACCTACTCATGTGCATAATCCGGTTCTACAAAGGGTCAACTATAGTCTCAATCCACTGACATTAATACTGTGCCACACAAGTTTGAATAACCGAAGGGACATCAGTTTTCTCATGGTTGCAGATACACCCTGCCGATAACTGCCAGCAAGCACGAAACTTAAGTCAAGGGGTTCATCCCAACCTTTTCGGTTACTCAAACCTGTACTCCTCAGTACTAAAGTCAGTGACTAGAGGCTACAGTTGACCCTTTGTAGAACCGGATTATGTACAAGAGAAGGTCAACAGTGGGTTATTCATGAAGCTGGACAGAACTGGTCAAAGACTATCAATCAGTTTCCTCATTGTTGTAGACCAAACCATAGCTACCACCTTGACGTAGGGTCGGGCATGAATATCACAAGAACCCAACAAGCTATACTGGTGGAACACTTGTTCCCTCGGAGTCCTACAACATCAGAAAGGTATGTTGGATAGTGGTTAGACGAAAAACAGTTACCGTTGTGGTATAAATCACTACACTATGATAGGGGGTCTGAGGGCGAAATCGAACTGCTGCTAGCTGGATAGCCTACTACAGTGTTGAACCCCGAGGAGTGTCAACCGCCCTCACAACTCGATCAGCACTCAAGTTTCTTCAGACTGCTATTCACCTCCCCCATAATTACCTTCTAATCTACATTCACGTCTCTCACTTAACGATACTACATCATCTTCAATTTCTAGCTCTGCAGCCTTCGACAACAATCTGAATCCACAGAACAGCATCCCTGATCTCCTTAAACTACTCTCTAAATTACAAATCGAGGCCTTCAATGTCCACACCCTCCGTCAAATTGGTCAACAGGCTTCAATGGTCAAGACCCTAGCAATCCAGACCATGGATGTGTCCTGTGTTCGTGAGACATGCATACAGAACCCAAGTGCGGTTATTCACCCGACCTCTCCCGGCCAATCTAGTGAACCAGCGGAATTCACCCTCCAAGTTTCCGGAGGTCTTGCAGGTGTAGGCATACCAATAAGCACTAGGGCAGAAACCTCACTACTAGACAGGATCCCAGTTGATAGTCGCCTCTGCGCTATCCAACTGAACGGCACAGTCAGAACTAAAAGGAATGGTGAAACTCACCGTTGTCTCTTTGTAATCTCTGTTTACACACCCACTGACTGTAGTTAGGATGAAGTGAAGGGCGAGTTTTACCGAAAACTGTCTAGCCTCCTCTCGAAAGCCAAACGTTCAGATGTACTGGTTGTTGCAGGTGACTTCAATTCACAGGTGGATACACTGAATGAGGCAGAAAGGCACTTAGGTGGCACTTTCGGAATTCCAGTTCAACGAACAGATAACGGTGATCACCTACTACAACTGTGCTCAAATAACCGCCTATTTGTAGCTAGCACAAATTTCAGACATAAAAAAGACACTGTCTGACGTGGCGTCCACCGAGCTCAACTCAGCAATGGACACAGATAGACCACATTGCTATTACTCATCGCTGGAGAGGATCGGTGGAAGACTGCCACTCCTTCTGGAGTGCGTGTTTGGATAGTGGCCACGCGTCGATCTGAGCGCGTATATGCCTGAGTCTCAATGGAAGTAGGAAAAATTTGGCAACAAAATCACCACGAGTGCTGCTGGACAACGAAAACACAATGCAGCTTTCAGTGAGAAGTTGGCTAGGCAGTTATCGGGACAGAACACCATCACTCACCCAGAAGAAGCTTAGTGCCATCTCCAATCTGCTGACGACAGTAGCCGACTCCGAAATGGTGGCTAAAAAGAACCAGTGGATATCAGCAGCTTCTTCCGAACTAATGGATGCACGTGAACGCATCCCTACAGGCTCTGAGTACAATGAATGAAGAGCGAGCGCAACTTAAAAGTAGATTGAGAAAATGTCTACACAATGACCGCGAACAGTGGCGGGCAGCAAAGGCTAAAGAGATGGAAAAGACAGCAGCGATTGGTAACAGTAGACAATTATTTAGACCTATTGGGGAAACTGGAGGGGGTGGGGGAGGAATGTCAACAACAGTTAGCGAGACTATAGTGGAGAAGGACGGATCTGCGATTCACTCGCAGAGGAGACAACTGGAACGATGGGCACAGGAACAGTTTAACTGGCCTCCAACCACCATTGCGTTGCCCGTTATCCAGTCGGATCCTGAATGGAACATTAACACAGGCCCACCAACACTAGCTGTAGGTAACCTGAAACGAGGAAGGGCGGAAGGACCAGACGGACTAACTCCAGAGGTATACAAGGATGGTGGTAAGGTGCTCTTAGTCAGGTTAACGGAAGTGTTAACCAGTATATGGGAATCGAATACGATCCCCTCTGACTGGTCTAAATCACTGATTATTCCAGTCTTCAAGAAAGGCGAGAAGTCCTCTCGTGATAACCACAGAGGAATCAGCCTGACGAACATAGTCTCCAAACTCCTAGGTTCTATAATTCTCCAACGCCTGAGTAGAGCTCGGCAACAGCAAGCCCGAGAAAACCAGGCAGGTTATAGACCCGGCCGCGGGTGTATCGACCAAATATTCACACTATGTCAGGTTCTAGAACAAAGGCACGCTTACCGACGCCCGACAATTGCTATACTTCTCGACCTGAAGGCGGCATTCGACTCCGTTGATCGAGAAGTCTTATGGCAATGTCTCTCACTGAATAGCGTGCCGAGTAAGTACATAACCTTATTGAAGGCTCTCTATCCGAACACTTGTGGGCGCGTTAGAGTCCATAGTGAGATATCCGGGGGAGCTGTGCTCATCGAGTGGTGTCCTTCAAAGGTGCTTACTCTCTCCATTCTTATTCAATCAATCAATATCAACATAGGACCATTGTTATTCAATTTACCACAGGTATTCCTCATGGAGGTCTCCCTCTCGTCACCTCATTACACTGAGGTTAGCCTGACTGCGGAGAATTTTCGTTAGACTTAGAAGACCCAGATGAAACAGTCGTGTTAGATAAAGCCTCTGACAAGATGCAGATTCTTCTGAACACTTTGAGTGGCAATTTGAAAATGTTTGGGATGCGTTTCTCACCACCCAAATCCAAATTGTTGCTCCAGGATTGGTCTTCAATGGTGCCACGGCTAATAATAGAGAGTGTAGTGGTTGAGTGTGTTGCCCACTTCACTTACCTGGAAAGTAGGATCAGCCCTGCCCTAGTGGCTCAGTGGCCGATGAAACCTCTGCATGAATACAAAAGGCTCGGCTGGCTTTCGCCAACTTACGCCACCTGCGGTGCCCTCGTGATATCCGATTGTCTATTAAGGGTCGCGTGCATTGCACAGCAGTCAAGTCTGTTCTACTGTATGGCTGTGAAACACGGCCATGGAAGGTGGAAGATATGAGAAGGCTGGCTTCAAGTGTTTGACCACCGTTGCCTTCGCAGTATAGGCCGCATTCCGTGGTGTCACCGTGTGAGTAACGCAGAAGTCATGTGTAGAGTTTTAGGGAGTAGAGGTAAATCAGTTGACGAAGTTGCAAGCTTTTGTCGACTGAGATGGTTGGCTGGGACATGTGTTACGTATGCCTAGTCGCCGATTGCCTCGTCACACAATTTTGGCCGAAGTAGGTCCAGGCTGGAAAAAGGCTCGGGGCATCCAGACTAAAACATGGCACCAATGTATGAAGTCTTTGACTGTTGGTTTCAGCTATATGGGGCGATGCAGACTAGCCAGTTGGAGTCCGCAGGACAAGAGGAACCAGTTGTTGGAGACTCCAGGTGATATGGCTGAGAACCGATGTCAGTGGCCCAGATGTATACATACATTATCCTCATCTTAACGACGCTATACCGAATCTCACCATTTTCTTATTCTTCCTTTCTCTCTCTTCATATTTTATATTTCTTTTGACTGAATTTTCTTATCTTCATCTTGCACCTCACTGCCTTTTTACCTGATGTGATGATATGAGCTGTGGTAACTCGGACTGTTACGCAGTAGTCCCTAGCCCTATGTTGATTTGGATGATGATGATGAACCCTGCTGATTTTAAGAAAGAACCTAATTGAAGAATCCATCATCGTCAAAGAACGCCTGTGATCATGGTGATGATCTCCCACAGTTTATCAGACAGGATAAGGAACTTCAAAACATAAGAGTGAAATAAAATGTAGTTAAGAACGAAATTAACCACAAAATGAATGATACAATGAAGAAGGGATTTTAACCTTTTAGAATATTTCTGCATACCAGCTAATTATCAGACTAGACAAGTAAAAAAGCCGATAGATTTTTATTGTTAGTTAATTTAAACCGTATTCATCAATAATTCAGTACACAAGTGTATTACAAAGAACAATTTAAAGAGTCCCAACAATTCTATTCCAATGCTTAAATGCATTGAGAAGTGTGATTGTTAGTAGACCACTTGATAGATGACATGATATCCAAACCGCTAAGGTAACTAACTAACTAGAGATGAACTCAAATCTACTCAGTTGTAGGGAAGTGACGTCAGCTGGTTGAAACTAAGCCTACATGTTTCAATCGAACAAATCCGCTTTTCACTACCCTTATATTTCAACTTGTAGGCTTAGTAAATAAATGAAATTGTGTAAAATATAAAAAAGTTGTCTAGGTATTTTTCAGCTTAAAGTCTTCATCAGACCAGTTATACAAAGTTTATAAGACGTGCACCTGTTTGAATGGGTTAAATGCATTTATATAGCCAATTTCTTTCTATGCCAGACTGGTAGAATTTATCAGTATGAAATTCTAAATGATGTCAATTCATATCGTTTGTAAAATAGAAAAAATTGAAAAACATAAACAAATATTAACAACTAACAAAAAATAAAATAAAATGACCTCTCTTACTGAATGGGCTGATGTAGTTTGATGTTGCTGACCATTTGCATTTAGAGAAGCCAGGAGGGCACTAGCTCCAAAACCTCGATTGTATTGATTACTTAGTTTTGTGGTATCATCTATATGTTGCGTTGGGGCTTGGGATGCAGAGAGCAGAATATTAAGAGATGGATGTGATGTTGTTGTTGGACTACTTATGATCAACTTGGAACCTTAGAACGACATTCACTGATGTTCTAGGTTCTAACTGATCTTGAGCAATGCGTTCTTCATTCAGTGTTTGTTGACGCATGCGTTGTTGCCGGGCAGATGTGCGGGACAACATGTTTCAAAATCGTCTTCTGCCGAAACATACGGCCAAAATTCCGTTAGTATGCCGAAATTGGACGAGGATTTTCTTTTCCTCTTAAGTGTTATCCAGCGTTACGGTTGACGACTTCTTGAAAGATTATTCCACTTTGACAATCTAACAAGAAGTAAGTGAAATCATCAATTAATGAAAGATGAGTAACGTCATACTCTTAACAAGTGACTGTAATAGCTTGAAAATAAGACCATTATCCAGAAATTTAACTTCCCACAATAATGATGTTAGCACTAACCTTGCCAAACGAACAGGAAAATCAATATAGAACTTGGCACATAAATATATCAGTTTTAGTAGCTACACTTCACAACATCATGTTAGGTGGATGGAAGAAATTTAAGTCGATAAAAGTGTACAAGAGGAGAGAAGATAAATAAGTGAAATACAATTAAAAACTCAACATTCTGAAAACGACAAAGTGTATACATTCACATTATTGTGACCGATTTGGATTCACAGTGCAGTCTTTAACCGTTGATTCCTATCTTCTCAAGGGCTTCCAGCAAGGCAACCTAAATCTCTCTAGACGACTAAGATAAATAAACAGAGACTTTGAGAATTAGTTCCAACTTTCGTCATATCAATCTTAGCCTTCTTCTAAACTAATTCTAATTCTCTGTACTGTGATCAAGACTTGAGTGAATAATATCACAAATATTGGGGGGTGGGTGGAAAGTTGATATAACATACATAAGTTATATTACGATAAATTTCAGCGTCTTTTAAAGAAAATAATTCAAATATTTCGTGTGGAAGTTTGATCCCAGCTTCTTCAGGAGAATGGTCAAAGCTAAAGTATCAGATATGTAACTGAGATCAGAGGCATGTATTTAACCTATTTTTCCAATACTGCTAGTGCAATAGGTAGTGTTACGCGGTGGTTATTACTCGACACTCTTTCATTAAAAATATGGGATAATTATGGTCACATATAACATTGCAGTTATTACATATTTGCGTGTGTATGTACAGTGCAACATATGACACCGATATTTACCATAAATCATTCACACTAGTAGGAATGAATTGAAATTACGAAAAACCCCATTTTTCAGAATGAAGTAGAAATAATGGTAATAAATCAATTCAGACTGAGACATTGTTGGTGCAAAGATACTGAAGATGAGACTAGTAATAAAATTAGATGCGAGTAATCCTTTCTACCTGTTAATTAGTAGTTGCAAAGAGGTAGCCAAATGTACTCCATCCTATCTGCTCAAACTATTGGTATTTGCCCATTTACGTAGGGTCTAGGTGGTTTATACATCTTGGTATGACCTAAAATCATTTTGTAGAAGCATGAATCAATCGAAGTCAATTTTTTTCTCTACTTCTACCCAGTGTAACCCACTTACACATGCCACAGTCGATGTCTGAGAGGTTCATCTCCATTCAACAATACAATATCTCATCATCTTGGTTGTATTGTGTTCTCTGAGCTGGGTGGTTTAATCGTGAAGCTTTCATCGTCCTTCTAGACAACATTATCAGCACTAACTTCAGTTAATGCATCGGTTCGACTGGAATTCTGAAAGTACCATTCAAATATCTTTCTATCTGGCTTAGTTTTTTTGGACTTTGAAGTCGCCCACTACGAGATCTAAAACTCAACATTTGGCTTTCAGCGGGAAGTTACATCGCTTACTCCATTTGAACGGCAGTCAATGGGTGAGTAGGCATAAACAGTGCAAATGAAAACAGCATATGTTTAAGTACTAGGCTATAAGCCATAGTAATTGTTTGGAAGTACATGACACTACCAGATTGCCTAGAAAGAAGCAGGTAGTGTTTCAAAACTATAACCTGTGCACTTGAAAGTCAGTGAGCTAAAAGTAGAAATCTTAATGTATCACTGTCCTCCTTGATCCTCACTGCACAACTAAGTCGAATAGCGAAGTGTCCGTCAACTGAGATCTCATCTCGAAGTGTTCTCTGTCCTACATTATACCTGCACTTGCAAGACCTCGAGAACCAAAAGATAAGTGTCTATGACTGAATAGTTCAGATCTCATATCATCTGCAATCAACTCATCAGCAAGATGTATCTGTAACCATGAGGGAACTGATCGATAGACTTTGACTAGTGCTAAGGACTAGCCAGCTCCATTGCTTACCCACTGGTGACCTACTCATGTGCATAATCCGGTTCTACAAAGGGTCAACTATAGTCTCAATCCACTGACATTAATACTGTGCCACACAAGTTTGAATAACCGAAGGGACATCAGTTTTCTCATGGTTGCAGATACACCCTGCCGATAACTGCCAGCAAGCACGAAACTTAAGTCAAGGGGTTCATCCCAACCTTTTCGGTTACTCAAACCTGTACTCCTCAGTACTAAAGTCAGTGACTAGAGGCTACAGTTGACCCTTTGTAGAACCGGATTATGTACAAGAGAAGGTCAACAGTGGGTTATTCATGAAGCTGGACAGAACTGGTCAAAGACTATCAATCAGTTTCCTCATTGTTGTAGACCAAACCATAGCTACCACCTTGACGTAGGGTCGGGCATGAATATCACAAGAACCCAACAAGCTATACTGGTGGAACACTTGTTCCCTCGGAGTCCTACAACATCAGAAAGGTATGTTGGATAGTGGTTAGACGAAAAACAGTTACCGTTGTGGTATAAATCACTACACTATGATAGGGGGTCTGAGGGCGAAATCGAACTGCTGCTAGCTGGATAGCCTACTACAGTGTTGAACCCCGAGGAGTGTCAACCGCCCTCACAACTCGATCAGCACTCAAGTTTCTTCAGACTGCTATTCACCTCCCCCATAATTACCTTCTAATCTACATTCACGTCTCTCACTTAACGATACTACATCATCTTCAATTTCTCCTAGCTCTGCAGCCTTCGACAACAATCTGAATCCACAGAACAGCATCCCTGATCTCCTTAAACTACTCTCTAAATTACAAATCGAGGCCTTCAATGTCCACATCCTCCGTCAAATTGGTCAACAGGCCTCAATGGTCAAGACCCTAGCAATCCAGACCATGGATGTGTCCTGTGTTCGTGAGACATGCATACAGAACCCAAGTGCGGTTATTCACCCGACCTCTCCCGGCCAATCTAGTGAACCAGCGGAATTCACCCTCCAAGTTTCCGGAGGTCTTGCAGGTGTAGGCATACCAATAAGCACTAGGGCAGAAACCTCACTACTAGACAGGATCCCAGTTGATAGTCGCCTCTGCGCTATCCAACTGAACGGCACAGTCAGAACTAAAAGGAATGGTGAAACTCACCGTTGTCTCTTTGTAATCTCTGTTTACACACCCACTGACTGTAGTTAGGATGAAGTGAAGGGCGAGTTTTACCGAAAACTGTCTAGCCTCCTCTCGAAAGCCAAACGTTCAGATGTACTGGTTGTTGCAGGTGACTTCAATTCACAGGTGGATACACTGAATGAGGCAGAAAGGCACTTAGGTGGCACTTTCGGAATTCCAGTTCAACGAACAGATAACGGTGATCACCTACTACAACTGTGCTCAAATAACCGCCTATTTGTAGCTAGCACAAATTTCAGACATAAAAAAGACACTGTCTGACGTGGCGTCCACCGAGCTCAACTCAGCAATGGACACAGATAGACCACATTGCTATTACTCATCGCTGGAGAGGATCGGTGGAAGACTGCCACTCCTTCTGGAGTGCGTGTTTGGATAGTGGCCACGCGTCGATCTGAGCGCGTATATGCCTGAGTCTCAATGGAAGTAGGAAAAATTTGGCAACAAAATCACCACGAGTGCTGCTGGACAACGAAAACACAATGCAGCTTTCAGTGAGAAGTTGGCTAGGCAGTTATCGGGACAGAACACCATCACTCACCCAGAAGAAGCTTAGTGCCATCTCCAATCTGCTGACGACAGTAGCCGACTCCGAAATGGTGGCTAAAAAGAACCAGTGGATATCAGCAGCTTCTTCCGAACTAATGGATGCACGTGAACGCATCCCTACAGGCTCTGAGTACAATGAATGAAGAGCGAGCGCAACTTAAAAGTAGATTGAGAAAATGTCTACACAATGACCGCGAACAGTGGCGGGCAGCAAAGGCTAAAGAGATGGAAAAGACAGCAGCGATTGGTAACAGTAGACAATTATTTAGACCTATTGGGGAAACTGGAGGGGGGTGGGGGGAGGAATGTCAACAACAGTTAGCGAGACTATAGTGGAGAAGGACGGATCTGCGATTCACTCGCAGAGGAGACAACTGGAACGATGGGCACAGGAACAGTTTAACTGGCCTCCAACCACCATTGCGTTGCCCGTTATCCAGTCGGATCCTGAATGGAACATTAACACAGGCCCACCAACACTAGCTGTAGGTAACCTGAAACGAGGAAGGGCGGAAGGACCAGACGGACTAACTCCAGAGGTATACAAGGATGGTGGTAAGGTGCTCTTAGTCAGGTTAACGGAAGTGTTAACCAGTATATGGGAATCGAATACGATCCCCTCTGACTGGTCTAAATCACTGATTATTCCAGTCTTCAAGAAAGGCGAGAAGTCCTCTCGTGATAACCACAGAGGAATCAGCCTGACGAACATAGTCTCCAAACTCCTAGGTTCTATAATTCTCCAACGCCTGAGTAGAGCTCGGCAACAGCAAGCCCGAGAAAACCAGGCAGGTTATAGACCCGGCCGCGGGTGTATCGACCAAATATTCACACTATGTCAGGTTCTAGAACAAAGGCACGCTTACCGACGCCCGACAATTGCTATACTTCTCGACCTGAAGGCGGCATTCGACTCCGTTGATCAAGAAGTCTTATGGCAATGTCTCTCACTGAATAGCGTGCCGAGTAAGTACATAACCTTATTGAAGGCTCTCTATCCGAACACTTGTGGGCGCGTTAGAGTCCATAGTGAGATATCCGGGGGAGCTGTGCTCATCGAGTGGTGTCCTTCAAAGGTGCTTACTCTCTCCATTCTTATTCAATCAATCAATATCAACATAGGACCATTGTTATTCAATTTACCACAGGTATTCCTCATGGAGGTCTCCCTCTCGTCACCTCATTACACTGAGGTTAGCCTGACTGCGGAGAATTTTCGTTAGACTTAGAAGACCCAGATGAAACAGTCGTGTTAGATAAAGCCTCTGACAAGATGCAGATTCTTCTGAACACTTTGAGTGGCAATTTGAAAATGTTTGGGATGCGTTTCTCACCACCCAAATCCAAATTGTTGCTCCAGGATTGGTCTTCAATGGTGCCACGGCTAATAATAGAGAGTGTAGTGGTTGAGTGTGTTGCCCACTTCACTTACCTGGAAAGTAGGATCAGCCCTGCCCTAGTGGCTCAGTGGCCGATGAAACCTCTGCATGAATACAAAAGGCTCGGCTGGCTTTCGCCAACTTACGCCACCTGCGGTGCCCTCGTGATATCCGATTGTCTATTAAGGGTCGCGTGCATTGCACAGCAGTCAAGTCTGTTCTACTGTATGGCTGTGAAACACGGCCATGGAAGGTGGAAGATATGAGAAGGCTGGCTTCAAGTGTTTGACCACCGTTGCCTTCGCAGTATAGGCCGCATTCCGTGGTGTCACCGTGTGAGTAACGCAGAAGTCATGTGTAGAGTTTTAGGGAGTAGAGGTAAATCAGTTGACGAAGTTGCAAGCTTTTGTCGACTGAGATGGTTGGCTGGGACATGTGTTACGTATGCCTAGTCGCCGATTGCCTCGTCACACAATTTTGGCCGAAGTAGGTCCAGGCTGGAAAAAGGCTCGGGGCATCCAGACTAAAACATGGCACCAATGTATGAAGTCTTTGACTGTTGGTTTCAGCTATATGGGGCGATGCAGACTAGCCAGTTGGAGTCCGCAGGACAAGAGGAACCAGTTGTTGGAGACTCCAGGTGATATGGCTGAGAACCGATGTCAGTGGCCCAGATGTATACATACATTATCCTCATCTTAACGACGCTATACCGAATCTCACCATTTTCTTATTCTTCCTTTCTCTCTCTTCATATTTTATATTTCTTTTGACTGAATTTTCTTATCTTCATCTTGCACCTCACTGCCTTTTTACCTGATGTGATGATATGAGCTGTGGTAACTCGGACTGTTACGCAGTAGTCCCTAGCCCTATGTTGATTTGGATGAATGGATGCCCATTATGTCTGGTTCGTACCATTCAATCCCAAGGTTAAAGTACTGATTTTCGCTCATGATATCGAGGAAATGCATTTAATTATTTTTTTACAAAAACTGTCATTTGCAAACTCTGGATGAACTAGGTTTTATTCGGACAGCTGCCGTTTCTACAACACACCAAATGCATTAGTTCTAATTAGTATGAGGACTGATATGACTAGTTTACCTCCTCAATACATAAAAATTCGACATCTTCAACTTACCGAGTACAGAGATTTTTCAGCAGCTGCTTCTATTTTGGACAAATATACTGGAGTGAGTTAATGATCTTATTTCACGCAAGTACTTTGTGGAGCTGTGGCTCATTGAATTAGGGAGATGATTCAAAAAATGCTTCATGGGTTCGAACACTACTCCACTCACAGAAGTTTGGGAATCTAGAGAGTATCATTATCCCTCATTGCCTACTGCACGGATGTAAGGTTGCTGAGAGTGTTTCAATTCGAGGCACTTTGAAATGCAGAAATCTGTTAATTGCTTCTAACGACTGCTTATCCCTTCGTAGATAATTGGCGTTTATCGCTGGCTTCAAGTCGGTGGTAACTGGGGGTAAACAATGTCTTTTTTTATGCTTGAAGTCAGTGTTCATCATCTACAAGTGAGCCAGAAGAATAATGGTGACTGTTATTGCCCGTTTGTTGGCAAAGGATTCTACAGATATGCTAAATACATCTTTCCTACCGAACATATCTACCAAGGTGGTCATCAAATGACCTTACTACAGCCGAACGTTTTTTCTAGAGAAATTGTCCACATTATTTTGTCTACTTTAATATCAGGCTAAGATATATAGATTTTTCTTCTTTTGATGACTGTTCAATGACGTTTAGCTGACTAGAAAGAAAGTAGTCTTTTCTTTGCAATTTTCAGTACTACAATGAGGAAAAATTAAAGCGGATATATCTTTTTCATTTTAATTGCTTTATTAGATTCATAACAATGTAACAATATTGTTTACTGGATCTAGTAAACGATAGTGTTACACTATGTGATAGATCTAATAAAGCAATTAAAATGAAACTACATTCTATCACAGTGCACAAGTTTTACTGTTATAATAGTGGAATATCCTTTTAACAATATTTAGGAACTTGTTTACGCTTTGAGTGCTTCAACCCGTCTGGAGTAAAAATGAAACCGATAAAGACATTCATCCATATGATTCAATAACACTGAGCAACGCGAACTGTGGTATGCATATAAAAAACCTTAACGCAGCTACATACTACCTCAGCATTATTTAAACGAAGCCTCACAGAAGGATTTGCTAGCCACATTTTACGCATTAAAATTAGACATCACAATCATGAAGTCGGATATTAAGTGTAAGCTTATAGATTTGAAAGTGCAGGGTCTGCAAAGTAAGTCATAAAGCAGCAAACCAACAGTGATTAGGCCCTCCTCAGTACCAAGACAACTTAATGAGACATAACTCCCTAGAATTCTATCATAATTAGCATCATCAAAGTTTTGCATAATCCTACAGTCAGCAACATCCCTTCATTTATCCAAAGTCCACCAGAAAGACCACACAGCCACCGACAACGTGACTGGTCATTTTTGGGTCACTTGAGAATGACTTCAAGACAAGAAAGCTTCATCGTTCCATCTAACATCATTCTTTTTCTTTACTTCCCAGTTGTGTTGCATTGCTGGAAGTTGGACTGCTGTACTTTTGTGTAAAGCCCCCCATTGGCCTGTAAAACATTGGTCTGTAAAACATATTCTTCGGTAGAACTCATCCTTTACGTTGTTTAAAACGACGGTCAGTGGGTTATTGAGTGAAAACTGCCTTTAAGCAAAGAGCATTATTCCGACTTTCCTAGGCCCAAATATGTAAGAAGTACAGTAATGAGATCAATATGCACGCTTCACACCTAAAAAATTGGCCCTAGTATGGACGCGATTACAACTAAATAAAAGTCCGTGCATCGAATTGGGGAAAAAACGTCTTGAGACAACGCCGCAAAGAAATCTAAACCTCAGCGGACAAGGCGTAGATAGTGACATGGCCCCGATAGTATTTAGAAAAGCCTTTATAGTAATATAACTTTTCTGTCTTCGTTGATACACTCCTCGACAAAATACTCATCCAATTTTTTACGACACATCAGCACAGCGAAAAACAACAGTGGATCAAGCGAAGTTATCATCAGAAATGAAGGAATTGAAAGGCAGGAGAGATAAGTGACAGGCGATAAAATCTATCCTCAATAATACTAAAATCAAGTGACGTTTCCTTGAATGCCCTGTAATGAAGAAATGAAAGGAAGTTTACAGTTTATACGTTTTTCAACCATATTTGAGATACCTACTTTTTTGAATGCTTTTCCCTGACCATAGTCAAAGTAAACAAGATAAATACATTCATTCATATGCTTTTAAAAGGTTAAACCACCTGAACTGTGATATGGATTTAAATAAGCCTTCAAGTGGTTTACTACTTCAATATCATTCGTAAGAATTGTAGAACCATTTAAGTAGAGCTTGTGGGTTTGAAAAAGACACTAGGTATATGTCGTTAGATGTTAGGTGAATTTCTGTAGACCTCGAATAACAACTGGTAAACTGAGTCATTAAGCGACAAACAAGTACAGAATACAACTAGGTTTCAGCGCTGGAAAGGAGTTCAACTATGTTTCCTGCTTTATACAGCGTGTTTACTTCGGAATGTGTGGTATAGGTAACCAGGATAAAAGTCTTAATTAGGTTTAAGGATGAGTGGGCAACCTGATACAAGAGCATACTTCTATAATTTTGTCCACATAAAAAATACCGCAGGATAAAAAAAGTGCAGGACAATAATGCAATAAATACCTTCCCTTGATTAAACTAGAACCATCGTCAGTGAAACTGTGCATAAGCTTATCTACTTCCATCGAAATCCTTTAGGTGTCTGGAAGCTTTTAAAAAACGAACCCAAAGTAACCTAACTAACTGATACGCCGATTCAGAATCCTTCGATAGTATCTGAAAGATAGCAAGCTTCCACAGTTATATTAATCTTTGTTCTGTCTATTAAGAACATGTCGATAACATTATAGTGTTATAACCACTTGAGATAAAAAGTATGTAGATAAACTAGACAAAAGCAGCAAACATGAAAGTAAGAATAGAGTGCAGCCTAATCCTTTCTCACCAATAACATCTTTCTACTTAAAAAAAAACTCCCGACAAACAACTAAGTCAGCAGCAAACCAAAAAAACTACCTGAGCAATATACTCAACGGTTGGAAGTGACCTCCAAGACTACACCATAAATTTCCCGCTTCCCAGACTTAACATTAGCTTCATGAAAGGAATATCATTTTGTAATGAGCGTCTGAGATGTGGAAGACAACACATTTCGTTTGGATGATACCTATTCCTCAAGTCTGTATATCACTTCAAAAATGTGACCAGAAAGGTAAAGTACCTTCTTCGGGATCCGTGGCGGTCAATAATTCGCCTAAATCAACGGCTTAGGGCTCGATGAGATTCAACGCTGATGCTGACCTCTATAGTTTTTAAGGACTTGCTAAACAGGCACACAGCCAAAAATCAAAACCACCTGGCACACTGTCATGATATTTTGCGCTGGTCATATCCAGCGTTCTCTCAGTCGTGGTTATGTCAAAAGTACGTAAAGCTGGTGAATGGCTTCGGCGTCTATCAAGTTAGCGCAAGAGCAATTCCTCCTGATCCTTAGTACAAACTTAGTCAGGTAAAATTGGTAGCCAGTGGTTCCTTGGATCTTACGTCGGTGTTATTTTTACATCCATTGCCATCTGGACGTTCTTAGTTCTCGTGCTGACCCAGAAAATCCCGAAGAGACAGAGAAAACTGCCCACTAGTTATCAGGTCTTTTCAGGCAGCGGTGCCACTCAGTGTCCTTAAGATGGAGGAAAATTTCTTTAGTGCACTCCATCTCTACCACTGGAAGCCGCGTGTGCATCTAATCTCCCTTCGAAATCACTGGAAGGGAGGGCTGTAACAATTACTTCGCGAAGGAAATTCCATGTTTTGCTGATTGTGACTAAAAGCTTCCAATTCACGGACTACTCCAAACGGATGACCTCCAGGGTGACGCTTTTTATCAAGTCCCGAGAAGAATTTGCTGTTAGGAAGGGAGTTGTCGGTAATATGATAGATCGTGAACATATCCCGTCTGACCAGCCTGTATTTGGCCAGTTTCTCCCCAAAACACTGGGAGGCTTACCTACGGCTTGCACTGTTATTCAGCCACGTTTGTTTCAACCCTTCACTAAATATCTTGAAGGACGACAGTGTCTTTCTTTAACCGGGGGAATATAACAAGGTTTTTCTCCATTATGTGCGGACAACTAAACTGTCAATGCAGCATTATAAAGGAGCTTGAGTTAACCTCTAAACGTTGGAGAAGAAAACCTCAGGACTCTATAATGCTTCTGCTGCTCAAATAGAAAATGAGAAAATGTTTCGCATGTCTGACCTAGAACACACTCAAGATTAGTTACCGTGTTCGCATGAGAGATATTTTAGTTCCAAAGTTTGCTAGGCCTGCCCGACTTCAAGTTATTCATATCCCCACCTTGGATTCACAGTTGGAACTTTATTGGCTTAATATAACCCTGGCTTGTGAGTGGAGACTTGGGTAGTAAATTCCGACTTATCAAAATGTAAGTGTTGAAATGAGACCGACTATCAGCTTCATTTGTCCCTATCACATTAGTTTTCATTCTCAGATGCCGTCGGAAACAGCCATTTGTTCCTACATAGTGTAGTAAACTCAGGTCTGAGACAGACTTGCGGCTTAACGTTCGCCATACAGTTCGCATTACAGGCTCGAAAGTAAAGAATTCTATTGCACTTTAAATTTGGCGAATCCTTCCCCATCCAGTGAAACCCATATTCTGCACTTATTGAGACACAATTGCGTTATTTTGAAATTACGAAGTGAAATTCAAAAATTTTCAGGGATACATCAAGCTGACTCCACTAGGAAACCAACGTTAACAGAATAACACATCCAGATGTATGCCACTCCAAGTACAAAGGTTAATGTGATCAACTACCTGGCACTATAAACGCCTACAGAGGAAATGTTCCATTTTATTCCTTGCTAGATGAACCCTCATGTTCTGACAAGCAGTGGCAAAATTGCTGTCAGTAACAAGATTACATTCCGCGGTTCTTCCCTAAACATATGAATGATCTAGCTCCGCAAGTACTTGCACGCTCTGCTGCTACTTGTTCTTACAGACAGGAGCCAGATATCTCCGTCTCAGCAGTGAACAAGAAAGGTAAACCTGGTTTCTAAAACATGTGCAGCTTGAGGTATTTTCCCAAGAAAACGGTGTGTGAATATAACACACTGATAATTCGAGACTCCCATATTTCAGTTCCAAATGTAATAACCATGGTTGTTTTCGCTCAGATGGAAGACTTGTTTCTTACCGATTACTGCAATTGCATACAGAATGCAAAATACCTCGAAATCGTCTGCATTTTTCAAAATTGGAGTCAAATCTTTGAACTCAGTTTGAGAGAAGTGGTATTCGTTTGTCACTAATTACAGCATCAAAAGCAACAAAGGAGAATAATAACTATGGCTGCCATGAAACATTGAACATCACTTTGACATAAAGTAGGGGACTTGAAACATTGATCACTGAATCTGCAATGCGTATGATCTCAGTTCTCTATGCGCCTGTAGGGATGCGTGTTACAATTCCGTAACGCTTGATCAACCCTACTTAATTTGATGTGCTCTAGTACCTGCTTAACCAGTACTTTACCTAACGTGTAAGTACTGATAACAAAACACAAATCAAAAGAACTGATACGCAATGTATTTAAAGGAGCTATGTATTTAAAGTAAATGTAATAATAATGAATGGGGGAAAAGTTTAATCAACTTATCTGGCTTGTAAGGCTGAACTAGGGACTCGGAGTACGTGCGTGGTGATCAGCACAATGGAGCGCAAAAATGGCGTCCAAGCCTGCTCGGATGCATGCTCGTTAAAACAAAACTTAAAACACCCTAAGCATCCGGAGGCAAGCTAGAGATTTATTTAGTTAATTTAATTTAAACTATTTATTTTAGCCCTAGTTATATTTTGGTGCCAGGAAGGTGCACTACAGGTTATCCCCCTCCTAGAAGGTTGTTGGGATACCGGCAACCTTCGATCCTAGGAGGCGACTGCGAGGCGGACACGCAACACCTTTCCATATTGGTGATGGAGTAGGTGACGTGTGGGTCTCCGAAGCTAGTGCAACTATGCACACCTACGAGGTAAGATAACTTTGCGTCTAGACGCAACCCTTCTCGCAGTGGTGGAAGGTGACCCAAAGCCTCCGTCTACTTTTCCCTATTGCTTCTTAATCTACCGGGGAGTGTACAGGGGGAAATTGGTACAAAGAGAACCGAAGAACGATCCAAGTAGCATCGTCAGCGGCCAATTGTATCCAATTTTCAACGCATTTTCTAGGTTCTGCAAGAAGAAAGAAATGGGACATTAGAGTGCTAAGAAAAGAAAAACCAAACAATTCGAAGTGGGAGGAGTACAGAAAAAAAATAATAACCAACCAAAAAAAGTTTTGAAATTTAAATTGTATTTTTGGTTTTTCTTTTTTTTGAAAAAAAACTGTTTGCAAAGTAGTGAACAGGACTTTTGAAAACTTTAGATGTGAAAACGCATTGATAGTGTATGCCACGACAAAGTAGTTGAAACTCCGAATTCACCAAGTGTGAAGTTGCGCTGGGGCTAATTAACGAAATCGGCGTATCGCTTGGGCCAATGTACACGCCTCCCAGCACGTGTAGAGAGTACTGGATCAGTGTTACTAGACGTGGCTCTTTTAGAAGGTTCAGGATACGCGCGACTAAACGAGTCTGTTTGGGAGTCTGGCGGCAAGGGTTTTTCTAGTTGTGTCGGTGTAGAGGAAGGTGGGTCGTCCTCTATATAAGCTGCCTTCAAACGATCGACACTTATAGAATCCTGCCGTCCAGATCTGTCAATGACGAAAAACTTTTCTTTCCTACTGAGAACCTTGAAAGGTCCGTCGTATGGTGGCTGTAAGGGTTTACGTACACCGTCACAACGCACAAAGACGTGAGTGCAATCTTGGAGTCTTTTATCCAACTGCACCCGTCTACACTGTATCCGTGTGGATGAGGGTTGGAGGCGACGCATGTGTAACTTAAGAGTTTGAGCATAGCCATGGATATCGGTAGGAGTTGGGTCACTACAGTCTGAAGCGACCATCTCACCCGGCAAACGTAAGTTACTACCGTAAACTAACTCAGCAGGTGTACACTGTATATCAGTCTTGAGTGTAGAACGGATGCTGAGAAGAACCAACGGCAGAGACTCAGTCCATTTCATATTGTCGACTGCCATTAGTGCGCTCTTAAGGTGTCGGTGGAATCGCTCCACCAAACCATTGGAAGCTGGATGATATGCGGTAGTGCGGATGCGTTTGCATCCCAACAGATTCATCAGCTTCTGGAAGGTAGCGGATTCGAACTGTTGGCCTCTGTCGGTTGTCACGGTGGAAGGGCATCCAAACTGTGAAACCCATCCTTCGACGAAACCCGACTTACTGTTTCGGCAGTAATGTTAGACAATGGGATGGCTAACGGCCAGCGAGTAAACCTATCGACACATGTCAGTAGGTAACTATATCCATCGGAGGGTGGAAGTGGGCCGACAATGTCTAAGTGGACATGAGCGAATCGTGAGTCCGGTTTGGCGAAAGTTCCAAGTGGTGGGATGTTGTGACGATTCACCTTGGAACGTTGGCACTGAATACATGACCGTGTCCAGTTTCGAACATCACGGTTAATACCAGGCCAAACGCAGATATGAGCTTGTCAGTGGCGCGGATGCCAGGATGTGAAAGATTGTGCAAAGCATCAAAAACATGCTTACGCAAGGGTAAAGGAACAACCGGTCTGGGTGTGCCTGTGGAGGTGTCGCACAATATTGACACTTCACTGTTCAGGAGCGGTAAACGCTGTATCTTCAGAGAGGATGAGTGTTGAAGTTTTTCAATCTCCTCGTCTGAATCCTGAAGTTCGGCAATCTTCCGTAAGTCGACTGCTCGAGGCAAAGTAGTGGTGCAAACGCGAGACAGTGCGTCCGCGACAGGGTTATTCGCACCAGAAATATGACGGATGTCCGACGTGAATTGCGAAATATAATCTAGGTGACGTAATTCACGCGGTGAATATCTGTCAGTAGTGGTGTGTAAGGCATACGTCAGAGGTTTATGGTCGGTAAAGATGATGAAGTCACGACCTTCCACAAAATG